CCATAGATGGTGGCAAAGGTGAATGGGAAACTGGGTTTATTTACAATCTGCGGGTATTTGTAGTCGCTGCTTTTTTATTGCTTTAAATCTCAGACTATGTAAAGGTCAAATGACAAGAGGTAGCCAATTCAGCATCCATCATTCCTGGTGATGGTAACATTTTAAGCAAGAAAAATACAGAACATAAGACCAAATGAGTTAGTGACAGTAAAAAAAGAGAATAGAAGTGAGAAAACCTGGCATAATAATCCAAAACAGAATGAACAGAAATTAGAGAACTGTCTTTAGACCAGTGATACTCACAACTCAGTGGTTCAGGAGCCAAATTAGCAATCAACATTACCCAAAAGAGCCACAGTAGTGTGAATTCATTGTTTCATTTATTATAGTACTACGTATTCATATTAATAGTATGATGGAGGAATATACACACACACACACACACACAAATGATGGGGGAAGATAGATATAGTCACAGCAAAATGATTGACCAAGTATTATTTTATCAACTACAATTGGTTAATAACATAAGTAAAAGCATCCTGATTGGTTAATAATTAAATCACACATTGTTTTAATATCATGAGCTGCAAAGAGCCGAAGGAAACGCACTAAATAGCCACTTGCAGCTCGCAAGCCTCAGTCTGAGTATTACTGCTTTAGACCATCAAAGCAGAAACTATCTTTCAATTTAATTTGTCTGAGAGAATGAAGTCACTGCCAGAAATTTTGGACAACCAAGTTCTCTTGTCAGACCACCAGACTGTAGTCTTAGCTGCATGGGGACAAATAATTAAATTCTTTTTCCTTTGTCTGGAAAACTTCTAGTTTCCCAGTGGGACTCAGCAGTTGCTCTAGACCTAGAAGGTGTCCATGTCCATAACAGAATTTAAACGTATAATGAGAAAACACTATTTTAAGTCATCATTATAAACCTGTATGTTTCCTTGAGCACTTGGACTCATGGTAGCTAAGGCACCTAAAAATAGCTCAAATAAATATTTTTAAAACTCTCTAAAAACATCCCTAAAATAGCTTTTCTGTAACATGTGTGACATATGTAGAAGTCATGATGGTATAGTTTAGATTTGCTACAGCAAGTAATGCGGCCATCACAAACTTTTGCCGATAAAAACTTCATACCACCCCTCACCATGACATATTCTTATTTAGTTTGGTATTTCAGACCAGTGCCGATGTAGTTGTTTTTTAAGATCATAGGGGAGAGGTGTCTTATGGAAAAATTATAGGAGGTAAATGGATCATTAAATTCTCTTAGGCCCAATTATCCCCTCACTTCCACCAGCACAACTATTATCTTTGTCCCATCTACAATATCAGTTGGAGGAGGACAGTGGGGGCAACAAGTTATTTTTTGTAAATGGAACCACAAGGTTAGTTCCTTATATTTGGGTGTGAGACACACTGGAAGAGCATGCTATCATTGTTAGACATACTGCTAACAGGTAATCTCACATGAGATTCTGTTATACATGGTTTAGTTGTAGTGTTGACAAGTCATGCTGCAGAACTATTATTTCAGTCATTCCTCCCAGACAATTCTACAATAAATAGCATAACACCATCAAGATTTACCAATAATGTAAGTGCTTCTGGTCCATTTCCAAAGCAGAAAGTAAAAAAGAGGTCTGTTATGACTGAATAGTCAACTAAATGAACATGCATTTAAACGGAATGTGTTCGTTTGGATATGACATGAGTCAATTTGTATAGCAGAATGAATGATCTCATCCCAACAGAATTCCAGTCAATGTAGCCACAATCTGACTATAATAAATACAAAGTCAGAAATTAGGCTTTTCTCATTTCAATTAACAAAACAAGGCTTATTAATTTTCCAACTTGCACTGTGATCTAGTTGCAATCATAGCTGGTACTGGCATGCAACACAAGTTTATTAAAGTGATCATGGAAAATCTCCCATCTTTCTTAATTTAATAGGGAGGTTTCATTTATTTATTACATACAAGTATGCCTTTCCTTAACAAAGTAAGGAGTTTGAAAAAGTTGAGTTTACATTTTATTATGAAGACACTGAGGCTCATAGTCTTCCTAGAAGCAAATTTCACAATTGTGGGCCAGGTGCCCAAAAAGTCTTCTGAGCACACTACTCTCACTTCTAAGATTGGTAGTTATATTGTTCCAGTAGATCATAACCAGGCCATAGGATACAGAGTAAGACAATGAGGCAACTTGAGCCAAACCAATAGAGGATTTCAGAATTCAACAGAAAGTCAGCAGTATCTTCAATGCCCCCATTTTTTCTCATGAATAACCTAAGTTCCCTCTGTGATAAACTACTCTCCTGAATGCATCCACTTGGAATCAGATTACTGCCTCACAACAGGGACAGAGGAATGATATTGCAATAGGGAGATAAAGGGCTCCCATAGAGAACGGCAGCCTCAGAAATCCTGGAATACTATCGTACCTCATTCCATGTACTGCAAAGTACATCTTAACTGTTTTTCGGTAGTATACTGTATATGCTTCAACATCGATGTGGAAACCACTTATATAGTCTAAGACAAGTAAAAGTAAAATATATTTGATGCTGTAGGAATAGGAAAACAATTCTAATTCTCAAACTAAAGTCAAAGGTCTCCTGCTTGTAAGTTTGTGTTCTGTAAACTGGGACTCCTGTCCTCCCAAATATTCCAAGCCATGTAGGCTTGATGTTTAGGTAAGTAAAACTGTAAGCATCCACATTAATGCAACCCCCTTAAAAAAAAAGAGATTAAACTTTTATTATATGACATACAATAATTTAAATGTAAACACTGTAATCAGCACCAATGAACAACAGACAGTAAACAAAAGTGCTCCAGCTTCTGTCTTAAAGGCTCTCTAATGGTCCCTCTGCACTACAAAAGTTACCTGTTGAGGCAGGTTATTTACATCAAGCCCCACACGAGAGCGAGTAGGTGGGCTCTAAATCAGCTCCTGTTACCTGACAGCAGAAGGATTACCCAGGCACTTCCACACTGAGGAGGAAGGTGACATGACTAATATGTATTTTACTGGGTCCAGCACCAGCCCTTCGTGTGGTTGCCTCCCCCAAAGGCCTGGCACAGGAGTGACCACGAGCCCCACACATGACCCCTTCCCACCAGGAGAATGTCAAGGGGCGGGTCTAGAAGGGAACTTTTAAAACTCAAGAGGGAACTACCTAGGTAACCCCTCCCCCCAACTCTTCATCCCTGCAGTTTCCCCCCCACTCCCCCGCCCCATCCCCCAGGGCTGAAGGGACGGGAACAAGTGCGCCGGGCAGGCGCGGTAGATCACAGCGGGCCCACCCCGCCCCACTGCCCGGGAACACGCACCCCGGAGGGCCCCTCTCACCTCTCCAGCTCCATGTCCTCTTCCATGGCGGCGGGGCGAAGGTAGATGCCCCCGCTAGGCCAGAAACACCGCAGCGGCGGCTCAGGTACAGACGTAGGCCGGGCCCATCCACTGCTCGCGGCTGGGGACAGGGAGGAGCGAAGGGGCGGAGCAGCGGGTGCGAGGACCCCGTGAAGGGCGGGGCGAGCCGGAGCTGGGGAGGAAGTGAGCGCCGCGTACCCTGAGTGCCTGCTGCCGCCCCGCGCTGTAGGGGGGCCCGGAGCGGGCAGAGCCCGGGGGGAGCTCGGGTCCCGCCCACCCTCCACCGGGCCTGGCCCCTGCTGCTGCCCCATGTGCTGGAGGTGGCGGCTAGTCCCCCCCCCCCCGGCCTTACCGACCGCGATTCGCCTCGTTGGGGAGGAGGCCCCGCCAGCACCCGCTGCCCATAGGCTCTTCCCTCCCCCTCGGGGTGTTAGTTCCCCTCTGGAGACTGGCGGGCGGGAGGTTGCTGTGTGCTCAGGCTCTTCCTCTCTGAACACGGGCCCAGAGGGGTTTGCTGGGTACATGACGCCCCCTTTCCCCTGCTACAGAGAGAAACCCCAACAATTCACCCTAAATCTCCATCCCAAGGGCGTCTTTCCCTCGCCCCACCCCCGAGTCTTGGCATAATAGTGATGCTACAGAGGTTACCCACTGATCACCCTGGTGCCCAGCCCAGGGCGGGCAGCGGCAGCAGGCTGGTGAGTGGGGTTGCAATGACTCAGGTGCCAGTGACTGGGGAAGGGAAGCTGGAGGCAAAGGGGGCCCAGCAGTGAAAATACACACGGTTTGAAACTGCATTGAGGGGGACATGAACATGACAGTAACCGGGGTGCAAAGGGGAAGGGTTATTTACCCTCATCCCCCCTAGCGGTTGCAACTGTGGCTTCGCCTTGCATGTAACCCAGCACACGGGAGCGACCTGTGAACTGAAGAAAGCTAATTTTTGTTTCCAGTGCGGCCTCTAGCTAGTCACAATTCCCTGTTGGTAACGTAGGATGGGGCGCCTGCAAAGGGAAAAATCCCCCCTTTTTATGTATCCAGCGCTCATCCTCCTACTGCTTCGTCCTGGTCTCCTCCGATCTCTTCCCTCGCTCATTTCATCTCATGCCTAATATCTCCCATTCCCTAAACCCAGTTACTGCTAGACCCGCCTCAAATCCCCTTCCCATCACTCCTCCCCTCGCTCCCCTCCACACCCACCTGCCCTGCCGCCCCGTTACCCTCGCCTCGCTGCTGCCCCAGTCCGCCCCGCGGGCCGCGTGTGCTGCTGGAATCAGGCGACCGGCGGGGACACCCCAGCGCCGGGCCGCTGTCGCCTCCTCAGCCGGGTCCCGCCCCGGCCCCGCTCCCATAGGCTGCGGAGCTTCCTCCGGCCGCGGCCTGGCGGCTGAGTGGCTGAGCCGCGCTGTCACTCGGGTCGCGGCACCGCCCGGGGGAGGAGCCGGCCCGCCCAGGGGAGGCGTGCGGCGAAGTCCTTGCCCGGAGTTGGGCGCTTGTCTCTTGCCAGGAGCTCGCCCGTGACAGCGGGAGGCGGAGCCCCGCGGGCGGGGACAGAGAGCCGGCCCCCGGCCGCGGGATGAGCAGGACCCGGGCGCCGTGCTGAGTCGGGGCCGGAGAGGCGGCGGCGGCGCAAGCCGGTCGGGGTAAGTCAGTTGCTAGGCTGCGCGCTCCTAGTGCCTCGCCGCTGGGCTGCCAGTGGAGCGCTGGGCGCCCCGCTTCCCCAGTGTGGCTGCGGGCTGGCTGGTGCCTCCTGGGCGCTGTAGTGTATCCGAGCTGGTGGTGACATCTCCACCCCCCGTGGGCTTGTGTCAACTGGCTGCTTCTTTAGCCTAATATCAGACCAGGGTAGTAAAAACCTCAGCTCAGGACCACAGATAGTGATTGTGCTTGAAATCTGAAGGCATGGAAATAATCTCTCCCCTTTCCCCAGTTCTGTTTCTTGTGTTTGTGAGGGAGGATCCTCTCCTCTCTCACGGGGACAGGGTGTGTTTTGGGGGAGGATGTGTGGGAGGGTTGGTGATGATGATTACTCACTCCTCTTCCTGGGCACGATTTTCCCAGTCCCCACTAAGTGGTAGATGGGGGTAGGGAGGGTGTTGATAATGATATCTCCTCCTCCATCCCCCATTGTGCTGTCCCTCTCTCTGGAAGACCATATGATTCTTTATGTATGTTGTTGCATTAGTGCCCTAAGGTTCTAGTCAGGTTTAGGGCCCCATTGTGCAGGGCACTGTGCAAACACATAAAATGACACAGTACCTGCCTCAAAGGAGCTTACTGCTTTTAGGTCCCAATCCTGAAAGCTGATCTGCTTGGGTGGACTCCTGCCCCCATATAGTGTCCCGTTGAGGTCACTGAGGCTTTGCTTGGGGTACAGGGGTCAGCCTATGCAAACGAGGTTGGATCGGGGCCTAAAACACATGCAGTAAGTATGGCAAGCAATAAGAGCAAGAAGGGGGAGGGAAGACCAGGATAAAAGTAATGAGGACATGTATTTATATAGGCTAATAATATGCATACCTCAGAAGTTCTGGATTAGTTCAAAGTTTTGTTCTATATTTGTGTAAATAAAAGTATCAGCAGTCTCCACTGGTTCTCAACCTGATCAAAGACTGGGTGGGGAGAGATACTGATTTTTCCTCCTTCTCCCCATAGTTCTCTCTCAGCCCCTTCTCCATGTTAGAGATTTGTGGGGTGGGTGAGTCTGCCTCTTACTGGGAGATAAGAAGGGTGAGAAAATATCATTTATTGCACCAACTTATGTTGGTGAGAGACAAGCTTCAAGCTTACACAGAGCTGTTCGTGGGAAATGTACTCAGCGTGTCAAAGCTAATACAAAATGGAACAGATTGTTTAGCATAAGTAGTTAACACGTATTTTGAGGCAGATTTACTGTTTCTTGAGGATATGTTGGTGGTGATTTCCATCTATGCTCCTTCAAATTCTGACACACTGCATTTCCCATCACTGTCAGTGGGAGATTGTGAATCCCCCATACGTTTCATACCTTTCAGACAGAAGATTTGGATAAATCCTGCATTGCAAGCAGAGGCTGCCTAAATATGTCTGTTGACCATCAGTTTGACTTTGTCAATATATATATTTATGTATATATTCACATTTTTATTTGAATATAAATAAGTTATTATTACCTTTGGGGAAAAAACAAAAACAACAAAACCCACATGTTCTGAGGATAGAGAAAAGCAAAGGCAATGTCATCGTTGCAAAAATGTAATGAGAGACGTGGGGTTACTTTGCCCTCTGTCGCTGGCTGTGGCCATTTCTTCCTGGTGCTTGTGATACTAAACACACTTAAGGAGAAAAAATGGGTATTTTCTGGATGGAACTGCACACTAGGTGTCTTCCAAGAACTACAACAATTCTCTTCCCAAACCTGAACTGTCATTATGTTCTAAAGACTGTACTTAATCCTAAATTGCATATGCGCCAAAACTGATGTGTTTGTGCTTTAGCTTATGTACAGAGGATTGACTACAGATGCATTTATTCTGTGAGATATTGAAATATCATCTATTTTACTCTGATATAATTTTATGAAAGAGTACTAAGGTCTGAAAAGGAGTTGAATTACTGAGTGTGTTGGAGGAAGAAAGAACAGCTGTAAACAAGCCTCTGTTACAGGAACTGGATTAAGGTGGTATGTTTTACAACCTTGCCAAAGAAAACCATAAGCATATATGTAAACTTTCCCTGAAGCATGTAGAACAGACAGCTATTTCAGAACTTAAATGTAGATGTCTACTTTTTAAATAACAAATGCTTTTTCCTTTTTTGAACTCTAGTTTTTTTCTATCAGAAAAATAATGTAAAAGATAGGGTGGTCTTCTGCTAAACAACTGAACTTTTCCAAGGAATACTTTAGAAATTATTCTTTATTTTGAAAAAAAACAAAAAACAAAAAAACCCCTAGTATTCAGTCAGCTAAGTGAATAACCAATTATTTTAGATGTGGCAGTGGCAAATATGACTGTCACTTACCATGTTGCTAATGCATACTAGTTGATTGTTTACATCTGTAGAAATCCACTATTAAGCACTTCTGAGCTTAATTTAATTCCTTTTTTAATTATATTATATTGTGGGTTTATCTTTGGTCTTCATACAAAATTAAAATATTTGTTACAGATTAGTTCTGGCGTATGTTTGATGATAGTCTCTGAAAATAAATTCAAAATCGTAAGTGCATTTGACCTTTTCTTAAAAAGAGAAGCTGTTCTGAGCTAGACTCTTCATTTCATTAAATAAACAATTTGAATGGCTGATATTTATTCCCCTTCCCAATTCTTTTGGTTTGCTGATTTTTATCCTAAGTATACAATCAGATAGCAGATCAAGGAGGCTTAGGAAGAAACATCAGATGGCTTGAAATAGTGTCCAACTCCATATCCACTTTGAAAATAAAGATGCTAGTGCCATATGCTGCTGTGACTTTATTAAAACAAATTTCCTCAAAATGGAAACAAGGTACATAAGCTAAATACGCATTTTAGAACGTTAGCATGACTTAATAGAGCACTGTTAGCGTTTCTTCTGTAATTAAGCTTCTTGGAGCAGGAATCTTATCTTCCTTTGTGCTTGGTGCTACATAAGATGATACAGTATTTTGGTGAAGGAAAGTGTAAAAAGAACCACTTTGTTAGTCTAAAGTGAACTGAAATGATATATTTAAAAAAAAAATAACTGTTTGCTTTACTAAATCACTAAAATACATGGATAAATGTAACAATTAAAGTTTATTTTAAACTAAAATATTCTGTACTGTTTTCCTAATCTAGCTGCATCTTCATCCTGTATTAGGATTTAGTGACATCATCAACTCAGGCAAGGTAGAGAACCCAGAACTCAGGGCAAGTAAGTAAAGGAAGAAACAATTTTCAAATACACCTCTACCTCAATATAACGCTGTCCTCGGGAGCCAAAAAAATCTTACCGTGTTATAAGTGAAACCGCGTTATGTCGAACTTGCTTTGATCCGCCGGAGTGCGCAGCTCCGCCCCCCCAGAGCACTGCTTTACCGCGTTATATCAGAATTCGTGTTATATCAGGTAGCGTTATATCGAGATAGAGGTGTATTGGGTTTTAAATATTTTTGCTTCTTGTGATGATATGAATTCTTATGATATGAATTGATTCTATTCTAGCACTTTTTTAAAAAAAAAAATAGTTCACTTTAAACAAAGCTATATAAACCATGGATCCAGTTCTGCAAGAGAAGTAGGCACCATGTTTTTGTTCTTGTTGTTGATTACAAAAAATATAGGCCATGGTACTGCAAGCTACACTGGCGCCAAGGGTCTGCTCTCCTAGGAGCCTTATTAACTTCAAGGTATTGGCATAAGGGTCCACCTGCACAGAACAGTCTTAAGAATCAGGGCTATGGTGCATATAGTGTGTGTCAAACCACCACAACAAAATATATCTGTGCATATACCTATGTACTTATTTGCTGACAACAAGCAAGTTTGTTAGCTTCTGATGTAAAGGAGCACCACCATCCCATTGAAATTTAATCTACTTCAAAAGATAAGTTAAAGTAGTTTCAAGCCCCGAAGTCTCCCTGCTCACTCATATGTTTTATAATCTCATTTTTGTACTTTTAAAAATAGATCTTCATGTAGTTGAAATCGACAGTACAGAGGAAAGAGTGAAATTGACAAAATTTTATGTATAATCAAATGCACGTAGCAAGAAAATGGAACAAAATAGATTCTTATTTTAGTCTTGCACTTATAATAATAATAATAATTAATAATTAATAGGAAGTAAAACATTTTCAGACCAATGCGTTTTTTTCAGTTGAGAGTATCACTTTAAAACTAAAAGTGAAACATATAAAGAGAGAGTGTTTATTAGTTATTGGATTAATCTAAATTGATTTCAGGAATCAGTAAGATATAGTTTGTTTATTAAATACTAACAGTTGTAACTAAAAAGAAAACTGCAGTCATTTAAAAACAAAATGTTCTCTGTTGGAGCTGTAGAAAACAACAGAGGACATGAAATATCGGTCAATGGTTGGTCTTCCATATTTAAAAACTGTATTGACTTTTATTTGGATTAACAATTGGTTAATATCACATTACTGACTTGCATGCTTCTTAATTGCCTTATAGTAGACCTATAGTTACTTGTTCAGAAAGTCTATTGCCTTTTAAAGATGAAAATTAAATCCTTTCAACTGTCATTATTTAATTATGTAACTGTTGGGTCATGGTGTCTATAGTGCAATAAAGAATAATGTTGTAATGCATGCTTTTTGTGGCCCCAATTCTGCAAACACTTATTCGTGGGCTTAAGTTTAAACACGAGTATTTTCATAGGAGCCAATGGGCCTACTCTTGTGTTTGAAGTTAAACCTGTGCATAAGTGTTTGCAGGATCCGGGCTTAACAGGAATAAATTTGGTGGAATAAACCTAACCATCCATGTTTAATACCAAAACACTTCATATTTTGCATGAAACCTGTTGTTCGTGTAGGTGTGTATCGAATCCAATGGGCATGCCAGCTCCAATAGCTCTGTTAGCAGTACTCTTGTCTTATTGATGGCAGTATGATTGCATATGTCCTGACTTCATATTTGCAGCATATTTTGCAATAATATAAACATGTCATAGTTTT